TTCCGGAAATAAATCTCTGCCGACAACAGGCTTTGGCTAACTTTTAATGATCTAATGATCGTTGGATTTCATTCAATATTATAAAAACAAATAATGCTTTAACTCTTGTTTCATCGATAAGCAGTTTGATTCATTTTAACCAGTTTTGCATGTTTTCAAACTCAACTTTTAATTAATTAGCTTAACATTTGTTGACTGTTTTTAATTTATTGGTGTTTTACAATAGAATTAAAGCATTTTTTTATAACTCATAGCTTTTATTGTTAAATATACTCTACAAATTATATTCAAATCTAATCAAAAGAATTTTTATTTACTTTTAAATAAGTATCGCAGCAATGGATCACACTATTTGCTTTTCATTTTAATAATATTTATATTCCTATATTTTCTAATATATACGATACCTGTAATTGATCAAATCTATTATATAAAGGAAAACATTTGAATATATTAAAGAGTCTATATTTTTAGATTAAAATCATTTCAATACAATATTATTAGTTAAGAATAGAAAGAAAAATATTTATTTAGTATTAATTTTGAGGACATAGGCCCAGAAAAGGCTCCCGGGGTTGAGCTGAGGGAACGTAACGAGAGTGGAAGCGCCCGACTCCTTAAACTGTAAATTGCCTTTTGATCCCAAGAGTTGGATTGTGTTCACAGTTTTAGGATCAACAGCTCCCAGAGTTAGTTGATTGGTTTGTGGCCACTCCAGTACTATGGCATACACTTCCTTGTCTTTCTGGGTATACCTATTATATTATAACAAACAAATGACAATAAGAATATTAAACACAATATGTGTGCAAACTTATTACCAAACATTTTTACTGATGGTATCATTTTGATGTTTCCAGGGTTTACTGCTATAAATGGACTCTCCATTCACTGTAAGCCAAGAACCAAATTGTCTCAAACGATCCTCAAATATAGGAGTCACTCGGCCGTCATGTGTGGGTCCGATATTGATCAATAGATTTCCTCCGCAACTGCAACGAAACATTATTAAACAATAAAATGATAAAAACAGTTCAATACCTGACAGTTTGGGCCAAAGTTGAGATTAACTCGTGAACACTTAAATAGTCAGCCGAGTGTCCTTCTCTTCGGTAACCCCACGAATACTTGTCCAAAGTCATGGCATTCTCCCACTTGCGTGGCTGTAGTACTCCGGGATCGTATTTATCGTCACAACTTAAAAACCCGCCGTGTTTGCATCTCGTGCTTGCACCCCATCTGTCATTCACTACAACCGTGTCTTTTACTGGACTGAAGTTCGAACAATTCGTTAGTTTTGTTTTATTTTATACTTTAGTTTTGTAGTCTAGTTTGCCTTTCATTGTAAAGCCAGGCCAAGAAGTCAGTACTATTCCAGTAGGTGTCCGGCGCTTCCCATTCGCCATCAGACCAAATCACTTCAGGTTTGTAAGTTTTGATTAGTTCTTCTAATTCTGGACGAGCTTTCAACTAATATTCAATTATTTATAGAATTTATATTTACATATAATGGGATTACAAAGTATACAATTGAGTCTTGTACATTTTTAGAATAAAGTTAAAGGATACTCACTTTGACAAATTCTTGAGTACTAAACTTATTATTCTTGTCCTGAAGATAAAGTGGATTAAACCATTCATACCATGAATGATATGCACCGAACTTAAGACCTGCTTTTCTTACAGCAGTTGCCAAATCTCTTTGACAAATTCTTGAGTACTAAACTTATTATTCTTGTCCTGAAGATAAAGTGGATTAAACCATTCAAACCATGAATGATATGCACCGAACTTAAGACCTGCTTTTCTTACAGCAGTTGCCAAATCTCCTAAAGTTGTAATCTTAACATTAAATAAGTTTATACTCAAAGTTATTCTTAAATCTTAATTTCTAATTTACAAACTTTCCAATGTTTAAAAAAATGTTTAGCTAAATATTTATTTTGTATTTTGGTATTCTAGGTATTAAAATATTTGGCTACCTTGGTTAATAAATTAACAAATGGTTAGACTGGTATTATGACAGACCTAATAAGTCCCGATTCGGTCCAATATCTAAAGCATTCCAATTCCAAGAAGTCTTCGATGGCCACATTGTAAAGCCCTCGTGATGTTTACTCGTGAGCACAACATATTTAGCTCCCGACGCTCTAAACAAAATAAGTGATTTGATTGTCTCGATATTAATGATCTATTAGACACTCACTTGAATATATCGGCCCAATGGTTGGGATCATAGAATTCTGCTGTGAATTGATTAGCAAAGTCTGCATAAGTAAAGTGTGGCTTATAGTTTTGAGTCATAAATTCATTGTATGCTTTTTCTTTGGATCCATTCCATTGCCACCTATATGTCACAGTATATACAGTAAATTCAATTAAGTATTGTATAAGTCTTATACTATAAGATATGTTACGAGCATAGAGTGGACAACTAACCAAAACCATTCGCTGCCAAATGATGGCACAGAGAATACTCCCCAATGTATGAAAATACCAATTTTCGATTCATCGTACCATGCGGGAAGTGGTCTCTTGTCTATAGAGTCCCAATTGGGGGCATAGTTTGCTTCCTCTCGCTCCACAACCAACTCATTTGGTAGACAATAAGCCAAAAGAGCCAATTCAATCAAAACAATGAGATATTTCATCAAAACCATCATTTCATTTAATGGTTAACGACTCATACAAGAGATCGCCTTAAATACGAGCAAAACGTTTGAAAACTAATCTTTTAGTTATTTAAACTATTAATAACATGATATGTCAATCACATCTACTGTAGTATATGCTAAGTACTAAAATATTTATCAAATACTTGTAAACTTTTATTAGTAATCTCAATAATAATCTTTATCAATTTGATTCAACCAAATTATGTAAACATAATAACTTACAATTTGTATAGAAAGCTATATTGATGTCCAGAATCTAAATCCGTTTAC